TGTGAATCAGTATTAAATAATCACCAAAGATTGTGCGTTATTATTACCACCACAGCCATAGCAAGTTTTAGATGTGAAACTAGAATTATAATCATCATTCGAATTACAATTACGTGCAATATGTCCGGTCTGATATAAAATGATTAAGATTAAGAAGCGCTTGATGCAATATTGATAAAAACGAGGTGACTTCTTCGAATACCTTTCTACACTGTAAATCAATAATTATTATGTATTTAGTTATTATAAATTCGTAAGAGAAAATGATTAAAACTAAAAGATGCTGGTGAAATTAAATTAGAATGGAAAATAATTTCACCAATATCCCTAGTTAAAATAGTAACTCGCCTTATAGCAAACTGAACTTGAACTGTTTCTTGATCCATAGTCATCGTAATAATCTTCATTCATTTCACAATTCCGTGCAATATGTCCTGACTAGGATAATTTTTTTCCATTTATACACAAATAAATATTAATAAATTTATCAGGCAGAAAATATTGGCATCTAGCTATAAATTAATTTATACCTGACCACACTGTAAATAATAAATTAAAAATAATAAATCGGTGACCACGATAATTTTTTAAAATGGATATACATTTGATATTTAATAAGTATCACTTACCTTAAAGCATTCGGAGTTCGTGCAATTACGTGCGATATGACCAGACTATAAAATTTGAACAATTAATTATTAATAGTCACTTATATAAAAATTCCATAAATATTACACTACCTTTCCACACTAGTAAAATAATAATAATAATTTAATATATATTGAAATATTGAAATAGTGTAAAATCAAAACGAAACTTTAAACATTACGTGCCTTGAAACATTCAGAGTTAGAATCGCGCGTACGGTAATCCGAATTAAAGTCATCATCAAATGTATCATTATTACAATTACTAGCTATATGACCCGGCTAATAAATAATGAGAATTGACCGTTCCATAAATAATAAAAAAAAAATTGAAAGCTAACGATATACTTGTAAGTTGGTTTACATACTTTGCCACACTAGTACAAGTAAAAAACAAGTTATAAGATGTTGTGTCAATAAAAATGTAAACGAATGACATGTCACTTTATTAGATTATGCACCTTGAAGCATTTTGATCCAGAATTGCTTGCCGAATAATCTGAATAACAATCACGACTCTATAAAAAAATTTTTTTTTATTCATTGTCATAGAATCTATCAAACTTTAGTTGCCCAAGTACTAAACAACGCAAGATTGTAGTCATTACATACAATATGACCTGAATCTCCACATTTGTAACATGTTTTTTCCCTAGGTGTTTCTGTACAATCTCGACTAAAGTTAATTTAACACATTAGTATAAACTTTCTTGATTTGTAAAAGCCGTGTTGATCCATACCTAATATGACCTTCTTTCCTATTTAGTTATATTCGCGTCGAGTTTTTAATGAATTAATTAGTGGTCAAAATAATAAGAAGCTAATATATAAACGAAAACGGAAAGCTTTCCCAAACGTACTGGCAATTATAACTAAGAATATTAAGGAACTTGTATAAGCAAAGAGCGATATACTCTTAAGTTGTTCAAGGTTTAGGGATAAGCAACTTACCAGACAGCGCTAAGAGAACAATCACGAGCCAAATGTCCGGCTAATAATTTATAATGGATTTAGAAGAGAAAAAAAAAAGAAATATAATATAATAGGAAATCGCTTACATTCTCCACACTTGTAACAGCCTCCACGACCTCGATTTGCCATATTTTTTTTTTTTTTTTTTTTTTTTTTTTAGAAATGCTTTTGGATTAGAGGAGGTTCATTTCTAATTTATATGTGACAAATCAACCTTAAGATACTTATATATGATAATCAAAAGTAACCCCGATTCGGATCAACGGTGATCGAAGGGTTCTTTTTTTTTTTATGTCAATTGTAGAATATAGTGCGATCGACCAATTAGATCACAAGATCTCGAGTAACATAAACCCAAAAATCATTGCTATTGAATAGAAGTGCCAGAGTTTGGAACCGGTTGTATTTTTCATGTATTAAAACCGATTGAACCCGGTTTTAACATATCAGATATGAAAAATAAAACCGGTTCCAAACTCTATGCCAGAGAATTATTGGTACCGAAGTTATGCATGTTGAGTAAGTTTTTTTTTAACCGAGTCACTATGTGTCCTAAGTTATCTACGTAAATCATATGGGCTAATTTGTAAAATTAGCCCATATGTTATCAGAGAATTAAAAGTGTGTTGTGGCCAATGTTTTGGCATCGAACGTTCTCAGTTCTAGATACTTTGAGGAATCACTATGACTTGATATTAATGATGAATAGGATACATTCTAGTTCCAACTATATATATTATGATGAAATATGTACAGTAAATTATTTAGAGAATCATGCGATGGAGAAGCAAATCATGTTTTGAGGAAACAGGAACATAGGCATGTCAATGATTAATAACTTTTTTTTACAGATAACTTTTTTGGTAGCTTTTGATGAAATCGAATTTAAAAGATAACGATCAGAAAATTTTGGATATATACCAATTTTTATTTGTTACAGTATATAAAAACATGTGCTAGATTATATATTGGCATTAATTTTCAACAATCGATAATAAACGTATACCATATTTCATGAATATTCTGCTATTATTTTAATAAAAATTATTTTCTATAAATCAAAATTCGCTATCGGCCCTCAGGTCTGGCCCCACATAAAAATTTGTTTGACTTATGTAGTTAAAATTTATGTCGAATCAAATCAAATCAGGTCCCTGACGTATGCACACACGCTAAACTGTGAAAATAGTTTGACCGTTTACCACTGTAATATTCCAAAAAAAAAAGCAGGTCATATAATAATACTTGGCGGCTATGAATAATATTAACCAAACAAAAAGTTCAAGAATACCAGAAGGTAATTATTATTTTTTACGCGTATTACGTCCTTTACTATAGGCTTACACGCGTTTTCATATTAACTAGAATTAAGAGTTCTATTTGGTGAAGTAAACGTAGGAAAATACTGTAAAAGGCATAGTGTTCAACCAGAAGTAAGCGTTTAGTAGTCACAAGATACTTCAATTACTCTTTCAGCTTATCAACTGTTAAATAGGATTTCCAAAAGCTTCGCTGCCAAACCATTGAACGAAACAAAATTTTGCCAAAAAATGGTCTTGATATTCTGAATGTGTTGAAGGCACGTGATTCGCGCCGATTATCGATAGGATACGCGAGGTAAAAATTATAAACTTAGTGAATAAAAGTGATATAAGGTTTAATTAATTTGAATTTTTCGCAGCATAGATGAATTATTAGGCGGTGGATTACAACCTGGTGATATTACGGAGATTAGCGGAGAATCTACTTCTGGAAAAACCAGGGTTAGACTTTTTCAATCATATTTAATTTATTAATAATAATAATAATTACAAGAAATTAACTTATCATAAATAGCTTTGTTACTCCGCGTTACTGTCAATAACATGTTTGAACAAAGAAAATACTGCCCTGTTCATTGACACCAAGAATGGGTCATGCGCTAATTATATTCGAACATTATTTTTGGAGAGCGATCAATTCGCAGATACAAGGGAACGAGGAATGGTAAGAAATTAATTCCAACAATTTTTTAAGTCTCTTTAATTAGCTACTAAACGTTTTTTATTCATCAAATAGGATGTTGATAATATATCTGATAGAATTCATATTCAGAGAGGTTGTATATTTGAAGATGATCTATTAAATGTGATCGAAGATCTGAATCTACAGTTTCAGCAAAAGGTTAATTATTTCTTTTTCATCAATGTACTTTGGCTTGAAATTAATATGTTTTCTTATTATAGGAGATCAATAATTTTTATTTGAACTTAAAGCTAATAGTAATTGATTCGATCACTTCGGGATTCTCACCACTTCTCGGGTATAATCTCGATCATTATCGTAAGGGAAAAGTATTTACTTTAGTGCTTTTCTTTTAGTCTTTTAATTGTTTCTTAATTCTTGAAATTTAAGCATACTCTAGGTTAACGATTTTAATACGAACTCTTCGAAATCTAGCAAAAAAACATAATATAGCGATATTGGTACTCTTAGTTCAAATGACTCTCTTTTTCAATGATTTTCAATTCTAATAATTTTATTTTGTAGATTACCAGTTCAGCTCAAAATGCTCGTCCATATGACCATAAATCGGTTTTTTCAATAAACAAAAAACCAGCACTCGGTCAAACATGGACATACCTTATTGACACAACCTTATTTCTTTCTTTGGGTGACGGTTCAGATCAGCGTGTGTATATTAATCGTCAAGGATGCGAAATTCTAGGAGTACAAAGAATATGTGAGGTTCTTCGCTCACGAAAAAATCTGGTATATTTAATTATTTGATTGATAATCTCGATAAAGAAAACGATGATAATACTAAATTATTATTGTAATAGGTAATCGGACGGTACTGTATTTTCTATATGGTAAAGAATTAATCTTTATTCCTAAATTTATTATTCTACGCAAGGCTCTGTTTAATTTCTATTACCCTGATATTTAAGGGTTATACCGAGTTCTTCTCCGAGTCTGCTGCTATTTAAGATCAACCCAAGTTTGAACATGAATAGTAATGAGTCATTTGTAAATGAAATTACGATTCAAAAAATCTTTTCACTAAAAAAAGAAGTAATAAAAGTATTTAAATAGGATAAACTTAGTGGTGCATTAAATTTCACTCTTTTAAAGCTATTATATTTAAATTCATATCATCTTTAGAATAATAAATTGTGTTTTACTAGAACTTATATAATCTAATCCGGGATTTGCTTAAAATTTTATAGAAAGAAATTTTCGACCATATTGCATGTAATTTAGAATCTAACTTATATATATATCGTTTTTTTAAAATCTTACAAATTTTGTATTCGACTATATTCAGATTGAATTTCAATAAAAAAAAAAAAAAAAACTATAATTAAGATTCGATTATTCTTTAATAAACGAGTTTTATTAATCATCAATAGAGTTAATTTTAAATCAATATCTTTTATTACTATAATTTATTACTATATACTGTACTATAGAATGAACGATGTGTATTAAATTAAATTACAAAATTAATTCTCTAATATTGCAAATAATGTTATTAAAACCATTTATTTAACTACTAATAAACTGTAAATTGGTATCTATTAGCCAGGGTTGGCACATTTGTCCATTGGTACCAATGGCCTCTGGTTCATTGACCAGACCCATTGGTTCTATTGAAAAATTACTAACCCAATGGACCAATGGACCAATAAATTAAATATACAATAATAATTCAAATATAGTAATAATTAATTTCATCTAATATATAATATATTATTTATCAATATTATTTATTTAAATTTAAAAAAAAAGCCAAAATCTGATATGCTTATATAATTAAATAATTTATGTTAGTATTAGTTAAGATTATGATTAGAATAAGAATTAGTAATAAAAATTATTTTCTTAACACTTTTATTACCTAACAACAATCTTCAGAGTTAAGCTCAGCATAACAGTATAAACTTTTCTATTCAATGTTTACAGTGACAATAAATATAAGTGGGTAGCTATTTAATAAATAATATAAATTAAATATAATAATACATATTTAGCAATAAAATAAGGTGGTTTCACTTATAATATGCAATATTTAGTAATCTTATAAAATGATATAAACTATTAAGCTAATAGATGAATGGCCAATAAACCAATGAACTAATAGATCAATAGATTATAATATTGGCCCATTGAGATCCATTGAAAAATCTATTTTTAATGAACATAGTCCATTGTCAACTCTGTCATTAGCTATTATTTCAGTCAAAGATATTACCAAAAATGGATATCAGTTCTAGAACATTTCTAGAATGATCTACTAACAAATCGCAAATTTTGATTGGCTC